CTTTCCCTTTCTTTTCCTTGCCTTCTCCGCTTCCGATAAACGCGGAATCTTACGCGGTCGATTCGTATGGACGTGTTCGTTCGAGTAAAAACTCGCGTATCGTTTCCAATTATTCGCTATTTCGGAAGTAACTCGGAAAGGAGAAATAGCGCAATATCGTACGATTACGCGCCACGATTCCAAGATGGTTCGCGAGGATAAAAGCGAAACGCTTTTAATTCGCGCATTACGCGAGAAAAATATGAGAGGAAAAGGAAAGAGGAAACTGGAAATTTCGTAAACATCGGTTTATCCGAAACCGCGTCTTTCCTTCTCGCTTTAGAAATATCGTTATCGTCGTTCCCGTCGTTCCCGTCGTTCCCCTCAACATTATTTAACGACAATTGGATCGCGGTGCGAGCAAACGAGCGGTTTTTTCGCGCGAATCGCACGATCGACGGCTAATAATTCGTATTGCCACGGTAATAAATCAACTTATTATCAGCGATATATCCTCGCGTTATCGACCGATCGATGGTCGTTCGTTTCGTAACGTAGCTCTCGTGAGGGAAATTTGCGAAAACCGCGAGCGAGATAAAGAAAGAGAAAAGGAGAGAGGAAGAACGGTCGAGTACCCGGAAGAAAAGAAAATCGACGCTTCCCTCCGCGATAAATCTTAAATCCTCCTCAAGGATCTTCCGCCTTCCACCGTTAACCAGAACGAATTCGTGCTTGAGATTCGAGTCGTCTCGTACTTTCCTCCTCTCCTTCTTTTTACCTTCATTTCCAACGCGGTCGTGCCTCCGAGTACGAACCGCGCGCGTCAAAGAATATCTCCGGGCAAAGAATTCGAAATTTCTCATAAAAACAAAAAAGTTTACCCAAAGGCACGCGTTACGTAATCTTTTTTCCACTCTTTTCCACTCTTTTCCATTGTCCGTCTAAAAATCTTTTCCTTTTTCGTCTCTTTGCTCTTGCAGCGAGTTTTATCTTTACTCCACGAGATATTCGAAATAGACCGAAACGGGGGGGTGTTTTAGAATTTTGCAAATTAACCAGCAACTTGGATAATTTTACGCGTCGCGTAGAAATCCCATTGGTTTACCGTTTATCCGTTTACCGGTTTACCGCTTTACCGGTTTACCGGTTTACCGGACTTTCCTATAGCCGAGAAAAAAGAATTACGCTCGATTAGATCTTTTTGGTTCGATGGATCACGAGTAGGAATTAATAGTTGCCGAGATAATAATTAATCGATACTCGCTAAATACGTTATATAATATTTTGCGTTGATCACAACGGTGCGTAACTGGTAACTGGTAATAGTAAGAGGAAATAGTAGCGGAACGGTGATAAAAAAGTAAAATCATCGCGAGTACGTACGTCGATCGATTACCTTAACGAGGAAATAATTCACCGTAAGAATAAAAGTAACATGGCCGGATAAATAATCGATAACTGCGATTGGACGATCGTAAAACTCGTAATTATCGCAAATAAATTAACGCGCATCTCGCAAAGATGCGATCAGCGTGTCATAGGCGCGTCGGGTGGAAAGAAAACTTTCGTTCGATCGGTGTTTTATCGAAAAAATCGCGATTCGTCGGATGTCGGAAGAGAGGGAGAGAGCGAGAGAGGGAGAGAGGGAGAGAATTTTCGAGGAAATGGATGACGGAAAGCGTGTGGGACACGGGTAAATCGTCGAGCAAATCGTAGTAGCTTCGTCGAGTTCTCGTTAGTTACGTAACAACTCCTCTGAATAAGGCTATATAACGAACCTCTGACATTAAGGAAGATACTTATCGTTATTCCGATCCAGTTTATATTCTTGCACCTACGTACGATATTTTTTTGCCAAACAATTACCTTTCCGTCCTTTCTTTCTCCTTTCCACGCCGAACGGAAGAATTCTGAAATTGAAATGTCTCGAAATTTAATGGAATTTTGGAATTACGCGTCTAATTACTTTCGCTACAACTTTGCACGCGACCGGTTAAAAACGGCGAGTTTCAGTTGAAACGAAAGGAACGAAGAAATTATTTAGGAAATTATTTTCGATAGACGTTGGTTAGACAGAGGTTGGACAGACCGAGACGACCATTCGAGATAGACTGGTGAAATAAAATCAAGAGGATCTTAAACGATCGTCTAGCAGCAATTAAAACGAGCAGCAGCGGTTTTCGTTTGGAGAATCGTTCGAACAGTTGCTTGCGTTGATTATGACTTCCGGCACAACTTCCTCCTTTCGTTGGCTCGTCGCGACCTCCAAGCCGGAAATGTCCGTTTTCTAGATGCTCGATCGATCTCGCGTTTCGTCTACCGGATTTCGTTACGCCGTTTCTATGACGTTTCATTTTCGATGACTCGGGCATTCCTTTTGCGGTATAAGACTAACCTGAAACGGGAATTGTCAATCGTTCGCGCACGGATCCGCGGGCAAAATTACAAAGATCGAAATGTCGCTCTTGCGCAATTACGCAATCCCGCAATTCCTTTTCATCTTCTTGTAAAAACTCTCATCGATTTTACGGCGAAAGATTAACTTTGCCGGTTAACTGGTGATCGAGTGAAAGAACTTTCGTATTCGCGAAATATTCCTCGATACGCTGGATTACGATGGGATAATTTTGCAAGGCGAGATTGCTCGGGACGAAGCAAAGACGATGGTGAGACACGACGGTGGTAAGGTAGTAAAACGGTAGTAACGCTAATAATCGCGAGCGACGTTAAAATGCGAGTTAGAAATCGATGGAAAGGAGGAGCAGCGAACGCGTCGAGTGTCATACCTGCCGTTCTCTCTCTCTCTCTCTCTCTCTCTCTCTCTCTCTCTCTCTCTCTCTCTCTCTCTCTCTTTCCTTCCGTACCTAGTAATCTTCTTTCTTCGTCCGACTATCGGTCACGTGGCGCGCTTCCCGAACGAGAATTTCCTGGTGCGAAACAATGGCACACCGACCTTCGCGTGCCAACATCTCTGCCTTTTTCTTTCTCTCCAACCGTTTTCTTTATTTTTTATTTATCGCTATCCCATTCTTGCCCGCATTATCTGTCGTTATCTGCGAAATAAGCCTGCTCTTACGAGGATTTATCGGCAAAAGTATAGGGAAATGGATCGACTCGTTGCAAAGCTACGAATATCGCGCGAGGCGCGAAAGATAAATAACGATCAATGAAATTTCATAATCGAACGAAAAACAAAGGCGCGAGATTGTTTGTGGCGCCAGGAGAAAAGGCGCGAGAAAGAAAACGGCCGCCAATCGAGTCGAAGCAGTCGCCGACAAGGGGAGGAGGACGATCGAGAGCGAGGAGCATCGACGGAATGGTCGAGCTGAATTTCGGCAAAGACCCTGGACAAAGCGAGGGACCAGCGTGTAAAAAATAAACGTTCTTCAGTTTTTAACCCGTTTTAATCCCTTTGGTCTGCCGAACCACGCGCACACCTCCCCTACTACGATACATAGTTTTTAGGCATTGAACGTTTTATATCGCGCTTAATTATCCGCGTGCCAACGATCACGCTGATCCGAATAAATACTTGAAAGTGTTTTGTACGTTGATTTCAGAGAGGAGAGGAGAGGAGAGGAGAGGAGAGAAAGCAGGACGTGTTATGAAATTGTTGCCGTCGATTCAACTGCCGCAATTGCCACCGGTTTCGGCCGGGGGTGGAATGACGGGGATGGACTCTCGGCTACCACCGGGTATATCTTTACCTTTTAGCCCTACAGAGCTACTCTGGCGATACGGCCCCGCCATGAATTTCCCACCCACTCACCCGCCACCGAGTCCCTTCCTCGACTTCAAGACGCATCTACCAGCTAGTTTAGGTAATTTCTTCTTTCTACTTTGCTCCATTTATACGCTAACTCGTGCGTACACTATCGTAACGGATAATAACGGACGATAAAGAAATTCGGACGGGTAAAGAATTCGATTCGAAACGGTTGGAGAAACGTGTCGAGGAAAGCGCGTCGCGAGGCATATTTTAACGAAAAATATATAAAAAAAAAAAATAAAAATAAAAAAAAAAGCAGAAAGAAAGAAAGAAAGAAAGAAAGAAAGAAAGAAAGAAAAAGAGAAAAGGAAAAATAATGAATGACATGGACGTGTGTCGAACAGCTTCAGACCCACGGTTGTGGTCCCGCGAGGATGTGGCGACGTTCCTCCGATGGGCCGAACGGGAATTCGACCTACCCCAATTCGACATGGACATGTTCCAAATGAACGGCAAGGCCCTCTGTTTACTGACAAAGGCGGATTTAGGAGAAAGGTGCCCAGGCGCTGGTGACGTGTTGCACAATGTGCTCTCGATGCTGGCCAGAGACTTTAACCAGCTTCAAAGGTGTCTTCCCAGCAGTCCGGTCACCCCCACGAGGCCCTCCGCGTACCCCCTCAGTCCTCATTCGCATCCGCCGACTCCTACCTGGACGGAGAACCCGTACACCGCTAACCTAGCCTCGTTAATGTCCGCGAATTCGGTAACGCTGTCCCCGGCACCCTCGGTGGACAGCCAAGCGGGCTCTCCCGGACACACGGAGGGCACTCAGAGTCAGGTTTACAAAAGCGACTCGGACGAGGACAATCAACAAGCAGCTACCGCAAGTCCACCGGCCACGCCGACTGCTCTCGCAGCGCAAAGGTTAAGCGAAGTCTGCGTCAAGGATCAGCCCAGTCCTACGTTAACGCAACCGATTATGCCTCTGACGCCCGGTGCCTTCAGAACCAACCCTGCCAACGCTGCCAGAGAGTTTTTCCCGAGCGACTCCCCGGAACCCAATACGAGTAAGTATCGCCAAGTATACTCGTAGACCTCGTATGCCTTACTTTCCTATCGCCTTTGTATTTCCCCTTTCCACCCCTTTACACCCCCTTTACATCCAATTTTCATTCGCTTTCTAAATATTCTAATCAGCCGATCCAAACAATCGACGGAACAACATTTTCGTCGCGCGTAGTAAACCTTTGCGCCTTGTTTTTCAACGTTCTTGAAAAATCCAGCAATTCCGATACCGTCGCATCTATTCCTTTTCTAAAAACGATAAATACACGGTATACGTTCTTTTGCGCTTCCAGATGCTCGGCTAGCGCGTCAGTATATACGGGATGTTGCGTCTCGGTGTAAAACAAACGCGCGCGTTAACGAAAATAATTTTCCCCTCACCTTGCACATTTTTTCTTTACCACCGGCTAATTTCATTATTGTTATCATTATTTTTATCACAGTCGATGCTACCTCGCGCTTTTCCTTCCCAACATAATTTATTCCTTCCGCGATTTTACAAAATTTCCCTCATAAACCCTCTTCCTTTTACTGTTTTCCTTTTTTTTTCTTTTTTTCTTTTTTTCTTTTTTTTTTTTATTTCCTATTTTTCTTTTAACGCCGCGTCAGAAACCATTGCCGACGATGAAACTCTCCGTCGGGTCTTTCGCCTGATTTACTTTCCAATCGTACACGTATGCGCGTTTGCCGATGATCGATACGTGTATATTTGTATTCTTCAAACGGTAAATATACCTCTTCCGCCATTCTTTTCGTACCTTCTTTCGAGTTTAACGCTAAACGCTACCAAACATAGATGATAACAATTCGCGAGATGTGACGAAAATAAATAGGTACGCGTAATCACGTTTCTATACTCGCCACGCGAATAAACGTTAATGTTAATTCTGCCAAAAGCAGTTTCGTGTTCTAGTAAATGCGAAAATAAAATATGCGAAATCTATTATTTTCTACGGTTCCATAGATCTCTAGTAAATTGGTAAAAAAGTATCCGATTATTCGTGATCGGTGTCGCGAGATCGATGCAACGAAAATTAACAGCGGCATGGGCCGCTTGATTTGAGACTGAAGAAAAGGAAGAAAAAAGGAAAAGAGGAAAAGAGGAAAAGAGGAAAAGCGAAATTTCACCTGTACGTCTCAACCATGTTTCGCCAATGCTGTGTTTCAATTTAGTCTCTCACTTTTTACCTTTCCAATTTTCTTCCCCTCTCTTTCCTTTTTAGATGAAAGGTATCGCGTGTAATTTACTCGAATTTAGTTCCTCTCCGATAATAAAGCCAACTCGATATCGACGTAGTTTTCCACAAATTTATCGCTTTGCGTTAACCTTTCCCGTGAACGCGTATCGTGCGTGAAACAGCGGCATGTAATCCCGTTCGATAGGATCAATTTAAATAATAGCTGTTTCTTTGTCACAGATGGTAGACTTCTGTGGGATTTTCTTCAACAACTTCTAAATGACCCGTCGCAACGATATACGCACTATATCGCATGGAAAAGTCGGGAAACCGGTGTATTCAAAATCGTCGATCCTCCCGGACTGGCAAGGCTCTGGGGCATCCAAAAAAATCATCTTTCCATGAATTACGATAAAATGAGTAGAGCTCTACGATATTATTATCGAGTGAATATCCTGCGAAAAGTCCAAGGAGAACGACATTGTTACCAGTAAGTATCCCAACCTTCTTTTCTCCCCGCCCCACCCCCTTCCTCCTTCGTTCCCGTTCAAAATAACTGAAAAATCCGAATATTCGTTCAACGAATAAACACTAGCAATATGAAAACGCTACGTTTCCCGTTATTTCGAAATCCTCGAAACTTTCAACGATACGTCTTCGTTTCGCGGTATCTTAAAATCTATCCAATGTCCTTTGTAATTGTAATTTTTAATTTCGTACAACGATTCGAATACGTGCTAAAGTAGTTTATTCTGCGAGAAGTCAAATTTACGTGAAAGAAACGCACCTTTCTTTATATTTCATATTTCTCGTATGACTAGTATTTGAAATTTTCAACGTTCGTACGAAGGAAAAGGAGATTCGTACGATTTCGTTGAAACAAATTTTCGTAGAAAGTTACTTTAACGCGCGAGTTAAGAGAAAATATTCACAAGCGATAATTAAAATCGATTCGTTGTAATTCCGGCTAGTTGAAAAGTTTATACGTTAACGCTGAAAGGGAATAGAACTGGTTTAAAACGGGACGATTTCTTTCTGTTTAGGTTTCTGCGAAACCCAACGGAGCTGAAGAACATAAAGAACATATCTCTGCTGCGTCAGCAAATGCGAATAAAGTCAGAACCGGAAGAAGAAGGCGGAAGTGGCGTCGAGCCGGAAATCGATATGCCAACAGACCTCTCGATGTCTAGTATGAGTCAGCCACCCAGCGAACAACAGCAACAACAGCAGCAACAGCAGCAGCAACAGCAACAGCAACAACAGCCGCAGCAACCTTTGTCTCTTCACGACCCACCTGCAAAATATAGAAGTCACGCGTATAATCTCGTGAAAACTAATCAGGAGTCGGAAGAGAAAAAGTGACGCGAGACGTAGCGCTGATCGAGTAGTGCGTTTTTTTTAACGCTCACAGAGTGAACGGGTCCTGTGTTGTAACGCATCCCGGTTACTTTATTAGAAACAGTCATGTTTCCAAATGATGCGAAGAGATCTGCTTCCAGTTACGTACATGTCAAGAGAGTACGTTCATAGAATTGCTCCACAGAGTTCGCTTCCGGGATCATACCTCTAGGGATATACGCTGCCGTTTAAGAATCATCGTTTAAATAATAAGACTCGCGAGGAGTTAGTTTACGAATTAGTAACCGCCCGTGTTATCCATGTTTCCGGTACGAATACATGACAAAAGACTGATGAAAAAAGAAAAGAAAAAGAAAATATCGCGCGAGTTAAACGCATCGATCCGATCATTAGTCAACTCGCCTTGAATCGAAAATTACCACCACCGTGCTACCCGGTTCTTTGCTCGCTCGTCGATATTATTTCGACATTCACCGCAACTTCCAACAACAACGTCCACCGATTCTAAATCGGCGGCTCGATTCCGAGGATCGAGCGATCGACAACACGCGCGATTCATCCATTTCCGCGCGTTTCAAATAAGATAATTGGCTGCTAAGAATCTTGTCGAGAATGTCTCGCGGCAGCCAATTGTCGTGTCTGTGTCTGCGTTTGCGTGTGCGTGTGCATGTGTGTGTACAATTGTGGAGGACGCTTCGGTGAAGCTGAACTTTCGCGGATATTCCGCCATCTGTTTTCCATCCTTCGTGTTAACGCACGTGCGCGAGTGTGAAACGTTTCTCGCTTCTACAACGAACTACTTTAGAAATTATCAGCGTTATCGGCGAACGTACAAAACGGTGTTCGGGAAACGATCGAGATATTTTATTCCAAAGTTCTTCTGTGATGTAAACTTTAGCTTGAAAGTAAATTTCCCGGAGTAAAATATGCTTAGTTTTGTAATTACACGTTCAATTTATCCAACATTGTTGTTCTTTTTTTTTTCATTTCATTTCAACAAGGAATTGTCGTGAAAAATCTTCAAATTTGAAACTCGATGTAATATATAGTTTCACCATTTTACTCAAATGGGATCCACGCTTTTCAACCATCCGTTTTGTATATATATATATATATATATATCAATTCGATTTTCCAAGCAAATTTCAAAGCTAGTTTCCCGTTGCACCGGACTCAGTTGTGCCAATCTAATCGTCGATAATTACCTACATATACGCGTTTAGTTTAGTATTCTTCTGTATACAAAGAAACAATGGGAAGATATGTGACTATCGTTTTGAAACGATCGAAATGATATCCGAGAGGATTGTTTGCATCCCTAAATCGTAGATACTTGTAAATAAGTTGACGAGCTATTGAAAGAAAAGGTATAATCGACTCTATTAAGCAAAAAAATGCCAGAGTTGTATGGAATTCGGGGCCAGAGTTATATATATATACATATATATGAATATAAATTTATGTATAAATAAATCTCTATATATATTATATATATATATATATTTTACTACCGAAAAGAAATTTATATTCGAAATTTCTACGTTCGTTGTCGATGCGATTGTGGCTCACATTCCTCGCCAACGGACCCTAGACTTTAAACAAAGATGGTGAAAAAAAGGAATGTAACTAGGGACCGAAGGCGCGTGTACGATTAGAAGAAACTGGTCTTAAGATCGTATTTTTACAAAAGACTCGACACACAAACGGGACAGAAAGTATGAAATTCTTCTTACGAGTGAATCGGTCTACGTATACGTATGTATGAGTGTGTGTGCGCCTGTGTGTGTGCGTGTGTGTGTATGTACGTGCGCGCGCGTACAAGAATAAGAGAGGGAAAGACAAATAAAAGTCTGCGAAAAGGAAAAAGTGCATTAGCAAGCAAGAGATTTATAACTGAAAAAAAAAAAAAAAGTTGTATTTGGCTATTTGTATACTGTGATCTCCGTGAAGTTTTTATCATAAAATCCAGATGCATAGAAAAACAATCGTGTATATAATTTTCATGAGAGAACAATTTATATTAATGATAAATATATTGAAATACGCATACACAAATTGTGTTCTTAAAGACAACCCAAATTTGGACCGTAACAAAGGTTTCGTATTTCTCGATACGCGATTGATACATACATTTAACGGGTGATCGTATTTAAAAGTTATTTATTCGTGAGTACTAGGAACTTACGTATCGATCCATAACGGTTATATTATACATGCGTTACATATGAATGTAGATTTTACATTTGCTAAAAATGGATGTTTTTAAAAAAAAAAAAAAAAAAACCCAAAAAAAAAAAAGGAAGAAAAAAAAACAAACAAGACGAGAACGAAAAAAAGATACACCGTGCAAAGCAAAAATCAACAATGTCTCGATCTCGATTACCATCTTAGTTCGAATTCACGTATATCTTTAGAAATATATTATATACATGTGTATTACGCATGTATTGTAGAATTTTTAAACAGCATCAACATCGTCAAGAATTATTTTATTTCCTAGCATTTACAAACCTCCCCCTCCCGATTTACTCTCAACCTTTATATTTCATTTCTCTTTACAGATTCTGTATAAAATAAAACTTGTACAATTTTAGGAAATTACGAATTGTTTATTGTATAACTCATTGCAAATGGACGAGCAATGTGTAAATAAAGATTTATTTACTTATTAAGCTAACTTCAAGAGTTAATTTACTATTCCTTGCTAGAGCAAATAAAATATCATAAAATGTTACGTTCAACTTTATAAATTGATAAATACATTATATATAAATATCCAGAATATGCCTAAATTACTCTATAAAAAACGATATTACGATAAAATACTTATACCTCATTTTTGTTGTTTATATATTTTATTTATGTTTTATAAAAAAAAAGGAAAAAGTTATACATAATATACATATACATATTACAGTCAAACATTAATATCCTTGATATTATAATGACTGAAAAAATATTACATCATCTGCTATTACTGCAGTGCTTGGTTTTGTAATACCTTGTTCGTCTTTAAATTCTCCATAGCTGATTTTTCCCACGACTAGCACTCTCTGACCTTTTCTCAAATAAGTAGCGACAGTTTCACGTAAATTTGGTTTAAAAACACATATTCTGTGCCAATCTGTTCGTTGCATGAAATCACCTAAAATTTTATTATGGTGTAAAATTACACAAACATTTTAAGCGTTTACTTTCTATGATAAATATACAGGTACATTTCAATCTTTTCAATATAAATACGACATAATACGATTATGATAATTTAGATATAAATTATAATTTTACTTAAAAGCTTGTAACTTTCTTTGATTTTATTCAATCTATTTTAATAATAGAATAAATTTCACAGTTTCAACGCTGAAATAATGAACTATAATTGTAAATAGTATTTGGAAGTTTACATTTGGAAGTAACAAGTTAAATACAACGAAAAATGAACTATAATTGTAAATAGTATTTGGAAGTTTACATTTGGAAGTAACAAGTTAAATACAACGAATAATTCATAAATTCAACGTTTCCTAATTTAAATATCGCTCTATCTTTCTTACGTGTTTATAACGTAAACGTATTTGCCTTATAAGCTATAAAATTAATTGACTCTGCATACCATTCGTATATTTGTAGTTACTGTGTGTGGCAAGAGAAAATATAACAACAGGATGTTCTTCGTTACCCCTTTTCTGTGCATCGCCTCCTACTCTTCCTAGTAAAGTAACTTGATTTACAGCTGCAATTCATGAATAGTATTTAATTTACCTTATTCTCCGTAGATGCCTTTAAATTCTTGGAGTATATAACAAAGAATATAATAACAATTCTTACTTTTTTCAAATAATTTTACATAAAAAATATTTTTAATGCTAAAAGTGTAGGAAAATTTAAACTTCCTACATAATTGGAATAATAATCATTTTCTGTATTGTTTCCAATACAAAAGATGTACTCTAATACAAAATAGAACAAAGAATTTCATTTTTCTTCTTCAAACAAAGCGTTTGAAACTACATGCGTACATACTTGCCACTACCGATATATTATTGAGGTGTAAATTAAATTATTTTCTAATATTACTTCGTACAAACAGAAATCTCAAACAAAACAACAATGCAATAATATACGTTACAAAAGTTTCGAAAAACTTACATTACATATATCAATACAAATTATATTGCGTTTATATTTCAACTTCCTACTCAAATGGTTAACATCTTAATAATCTAAATACCTTTAAATCCTATTTAATCGATAAAGTAATGGTAGAGCAATTCTGTAGTAATGTTACGCTATTCTACTGTAATACGATCTACCTGTATATTTTGCTTTATATTATGTATAATTTATGTATAACTTATGTATAAATTTAGTTTATAAGTAATTTTGTTAAATGAATGTCATTGACACATTTGCAACGAGTAATTTTCCTAAGCGTAGGAAGCCTAGAAATTCTGCAATTGAGATAGAAAAAAGTATTTAAAAAATTATTATTTTGTTTATGCTGTTTGTCACTAGCAAGTTGACATGCTTTGCAGTTCAAGTCATATTTAATATTTTTCTTAATCAAGAACATATTTATGTTTACATACTTTTATCGAATTAAATTAAAATACAAAGGGTTATGTTTTATATATAAAAATTAGCAATGTCAAATTCAACTTGACATAGGACCGCAAAGGGTTAATTTTGGATATCTTAAAAAATATTCTGTCTTTAATCATGTAATAAGATATTTTTATAAATAGAATAACGAAATACATCAATGTTCAAAGTTATAAAGTTATAATTTACTTAATACATAAGTATTTTTATAAGATAAGATAGTATTTTTGTTCTAATTTTATATAATTAAACTTAGTTAGAAATAATTTAATTTAATAATATATTAAATATCTTTCAATGCATTAAAATATATGTAAATTGAGAATAATATGTAAAACGTATGTAAATTGAAAATAATATATTTAACATATTATAGGATAATAATGTTATACTTGTTCCTAGAATTTTTTATAAATTAATCCAAATAAAGTAATAAATGATTTTATCCAAATAAATAATGCGTTGAATATTTTGTAATGGTACTAGTTTAGCAAAACCGCTATAAAAATAGCTGCTTATTCGAACGATATTAATTTAAACGTGTTAGAATATAATTCTTGTAACTTTCTTTGATTTTATTCAATCTATTTTAATAATAGAATAAATTTCACAGTTTCAACGCTGAAATAATGAACTATAATTGTAAATAGTATTTGGAAGTTTACATTTGGAAGTAACAAGTTAAATACAACGAATAATTCATAAATTCAACGTTTCCTAATTTAAATATCGCTCTATCTTTCTTACGTGTTTATAACGTAAACGTATTTGCCTTATAAGCTATAAAATTAATTGACTCTGCATACCATTCGTATATTTGTAGTTACTGTGTGTGGCAAGAGAAAATATAACAACAGGATGTTCTTCGTTACCCCTTTTCTGTGCATCGCCTCCTACTCTTCCTAGTAAAGTAACTTGATTTACAGCTGCAATTCATGAATAGTATTTAATTTACCTTATTCTCCGTAGATGCCTTTAAATTCTTGGAGTATATAACAAAGAATATAATAACAATTCTTACTTTTTTCAAATAATTTTACATAAAAAATATTTTTAATGCTAAAAGTGTAGGAAAATTTAAACTTCCTACATAATTGGAATAATAATCATTTTCTGTATTGTTTCCAATACAAAAGATGTACTCTAATACAAAATAGAACAAAGAATTTCATTTTTCTTCTTCAAACAAAGCGTTTGAAACTACATGCGTACATACTTGCCACTACCGATATATTATTGAGGTGTAAATTAAATTATTTTCTAATATTACTTCGTACAAACAGAAATCTCAAACAAAACAACAATGCAATAATATACGTTACAAAAGTTTCGAAAAACTTACATTACATATATCAATACAAATTATATTGCGTTTATATTTCAACTTCCTACTCAAATGGTTAACATCTTAATAATCTAAATACCTTTAAATCCTATTTAATCGATAAAGTAATGGTAGAGCAATTCTGTAGTAATGTTACGCTATTCTACTGTAATACGATCTACCTGTATATTTTGCTTTGTATTATGTATAATTTATGTATAACTTATGTATAAATTTAGTTTATAAGTAATTTTGTTAAATGAATGTCATTGACACATTTGCAACGAGTAATTTTCCTAAGCGTAGGAAGCCTAGAAATTCTGCAATTGAGATAGAAAAAAGTATTTAAAAAATTATTATTTTGTTTATGCTGTTTGTCACTAGCAAGTTGACATGCTTTGCAGTTCAAGTCATATTTAATATTTTTCTTAATCAAGAACATATTTATGTTTACATACTTTTATCGAATTAAATTAAAATACAAAGGGTTATGTTTTATATATAAAAATTAGCAATGTCAAATTCAACTTGACATAGGACCGCAAAGGGTTAATTTTGGATATCTTAAAAAATATTCTGTCTTTAATCATGTAATAAGATATTTTTATAAATAGAATAACGAAATACATCAATGTTCAAAGTTATAAAGTTATAATTTACTTAATACATAAGTATTTTTATAAGATAAGATAGTATTTTTGTTCTAATTTTATATAATTAAACTTAGTTAGAAATAATTTAATTTAATAATATATTAAATATCTTTCAATGCATTAAAATATATGTAAATTGAGAATAATATGTAAAACGTATGTAAATTGAAAATAATATATTTAACATATTATAGGATAATAATGTTATACTTGTTCCTAGAATTTTTTATAAATTAATCCTAATAAAGTAATAAATGATTTTATCCAAATAAATAATGCGTTGAATATTTTGTAATGGTACTAGTTTAGCAAAACCGCTATAAAAATAGCTGCTTATTCGAACGATATTAATTTAAACGTGTTAGAATATAATAGCTCTGTATATTAAAATCTTTGAATCAATATTAAAGCATAAATATAGGACATATCATACTTTTTACTATGCATCTACGTTAATAAAGATTTAAAAAGAAATGAATATAAAATCAATTTATCAATGTGCAATAGAATTTGTGACTGGAAAAATCTTTTGAATTTTAAATATTCTCACAATACATACATCTTTATTATGTATGAAAAGAAAAAAGAAACAAAATTAAAGGAATAAAAATGGAACTATATATGGAAAGTAATATTTATCCTCATAAAAACCATTATGTTTGTGTATTAATTCAATCGTATAGTAAGGTTTTAATATAATTTAACTTTTCATATTATTCATAATGGAAAAGTAATAACATATATTTTAATATGTAATTTTTAAATAATTTATGTAACAAATAAATAAATCTAAATATTTTTAACTTTATAACTGAGAAATTGTAAATTCACTACAATATTTGTATAATTCCCATATAAATGATTGTTAATATATAGTCATAATAATAAATTCTTTCCACTTACTTTTTTCTAATTTTACATTTTCAGTGTTAGTAGAAAATAGCACGTTTTTAACTGTTCGAATATTCTGTATTACTGGTCGTATAACCTAGAAATAATGAAATATTTTTACTTTGATATTTTTATTTAATTTTACGCTTTAATTTGCATCTTATATAATATTTTTCTAACTTACTTGTCGGAACATGTTGATTAATATCAAACAAAATGAGCTAATACAAAGTAATAAAAAGAATTTTAGTGCTCTTCAAAAAACTATGCTTCTCATACCACGCTGCTAACTGTAGAGAACGATAAGATTGGTTTACGTATATATGATGTCTTTTTAAATATTTTCAAAATATGTTTATATTATTTTTAATACATAAAAATGAACCTTTGTTTCCAATAAGATTTGAATCTAAATTGAAATTGAGTATTATATTTCACTAAATTTTAAAACAAACGGGATGAAATAAAAAGTTATAAATGCAAAATACTGTTATGTACATATAATAATATATCATTTGTTATTATGTATTTAACACTTATTATAAACACGCATTAAGTTTTATTTTATGTTTCAATGTTTTACCATAAACCTTGTGATTATTAACATGATAAATTAAATTACTTAACACAGAATATTAATATTATAACATAAAACTACAGTGATCAACTCGTCCCTTTTCGTACACAATATGTAACTGACAATGAATCGATAGATTCGTATCATTAATCGATATACGAGATTTTACGAATTTTTTTTTGATATTATTAAAATAAATACAATGTTATTGTTGTTTCTATATAAAACTGCTTTTTCATGTAATTAAATTGGTTTTGCGGTAAATGTACAAATCTATTGAATTTATACAATTTGTAATATACAGTAGTACAGCCGGGAAGGTGGTAATGCTACATGAACAAAGAAATCGAAAATAAAGAATAAAATTTGTTCATTCGAAGTTTCGTTATCGAGAAAATCAATTTTAAATATCCACTGATAGTCCATCCGCTTTGACCAAGGTTAAATGCACGCGTACTCGGTGAATATTCAAAGTCGATTTTCTCGAAAACGAAGCTTCGAATGAACAAATTTTATTCTTTCTTGTTGCTGCGACACCTTGTGACACCCTGTATACGTATAAAATATAATTTAATTCATATAATTGAACTATTTCGACGATAAAATCACGCGAGTTGGATTGTGAAAACTTTACTATACGTTACATAATTGTAACATAATATTTCAAATTATAATATTTTTCAAATGAATTATCCTTGAATGATCGCGGTTTCAATCATATATACCTATTTAAAATAAAAATTAAAGATTCGCACGATGAACCTTTCTTTTTTGTCAGCTGGTATTTCCGTATTTAAATAATTAGGGAAAGCTTAAAAATAAATATTTTAGAACTTGATTACGTTAAAAGTATTTTATTTTTATATTATCCACCGGTTTCAACGGAATTACATTTTTGATTGTTATAATTCTAAAAGTCTAAGAAAATAACACAATTCGTTCGATATCGATACGTTAATTTTTCTTTTTGTATAATTATAAAAATTAATTATAAGTACAAAAAGGGATAAAAATAATATTAATATTAATAGATATTAGAAAATAACAACGTATGAATGGAAATAAAGAATTATGCATTCAAAATGGACAGATTAAGATGGATAATACGAACAAACTCTTTCTATGAGTATGCATACAATAAAGAAAATGTCATTGTATTGAAAGTATCTTTTTTCAAGTATCTCAAGTATGATCCGTGACCTTTGTTCCATCGATGAAAATGTTACTTAAAAATTCTATAGTCTTTCAATGAACCGAATACATACTCAGATTTATGTAAATCATATTCATACTATCAAACCATTGGAATTTGATTAATTTGCATTATAGATATACTAATATACTCATTATAAATAAATTTTCCGATTACATTGATATAATATAGTTTTCTTCAATAATTTTTCACTGTTCTATTGTAATAATTTTATGTTTTGTATATATCATGTTATGTTATATTTTAATAATATATGCAGAGACTAAGAAATTACACACAAATATGTAATATAGTATGTTATCTAGATATGTGGGATAATATAAAAACCATAAATATAAATATAGCATAAGAATAAACATAGTGAAGTGAATATAATGAAAATTATAAGCAAATATAGATATTTTACTAAATTCTTCGCATTTATGTATCGACAACAGAATGTAATAAATAAAAATATACTTTCTATATGGAAAGGATGTAACAAAAATTGAGACACAAGTAATAAAGAAAAGTTAATATAAATATTTAAAAATTGATTTACATACATTTTCCTGATTCAGCTAAAATACACCTTCTCAAAGTATAAAATATTTGATTTAAAAACAAAATGAATGAACTTATAAGATTTTAGTACGAAGCAAATAGGAAATATCGATAATTTAATAACATCTAAATACTTAAATTTTGTTATATGTAATTGAGATGAAAAACAAACATCGATCGTGCTCTATACAATATGTATAGTCTCAGCAAACGTAGTTTATAAGAATATGAATTTATTAGAATGGTTTTCAAGAACTTTACAGTAGAGATTAATATGATTTTGAACGCTCAGTACTGATTTAGATGATCTATTGCTAAGATATTTTTTAAGAATATATGTATATGTATAATGTTTCTAGAAAAAGTATGTAAGTTTTAGTCCTTGGTAACTAATTGGCAAGAGATTGAAATTTGGATTTTGAGAGACCAGTTACACTAATCAGAAGAATCGACAAACCTTTGCAGACTTTTTTTATTTTACCTCTCCAAATTGTAATAATCAATGAAAAAATGATACGTGCAAAATTTTGAAGTAATCGGATAATAAAAATCAGTGTCGTACTTGAGTTAGAATTTTGAAATTTTACTTCAATCTGAGATAATATTCTTCAATGAAAGTATAATTTCTCAAATGCATAATATTTGTGCGTCGATCTAAAAAATTTACTCAAAATCATTGCTATATCTTTGAATCTAGTAAATATATAGCGAAGCATCTAAACCACTGTACAATATCTTTTAGCAACAAGACATTTATGATTTATTACTTCTTTATAATTACGCATATAAAAAAATGTAACTTGCGCCTTGGTATTATATGTAGAATGAAATGTAAAAGATCAATGAATTACGTATGCATATATCTGTTAATACCATTTAATTATTTAAATTTATTTTACTTAAAATATTATATTCTAAGACTGTTTCGCACGAATAATTATTTTGCCAGATCGATGAGCCTGTTCGCAAAAATATTATAAAAAGCCAATTAGTTTTAAGACAAGTGCCTGGAAGGAAAATAATCACGAGTTGGAGGAATTTTATGTTTCCGGGGAACAGCTTCCCCGTTATTTGATGACTTGACAATTCTGCGCGTATCATTTTCTCATCGAGTATCATAATTTAGAATAATTTAGCTAATTTGCGTAAAACTAATAGAAACGGAATGTTGAAAAATAAGAGCTAGAGCTGGGGACCAGGCAAAAATGTACCTGTGCTTTTGAACGTAATGGTCAAATAAGATTTACCTTTAAGTTAGCTTAGAAAGACAGGTTATCTAGCAATTTTGAAAATAATATTTTCACTGATCAGATTTCTATTATGAAAGCTGAGTCATGCAACTGTATCGCTTGAATTCTTTTACAACCTATTTATCATATGCAAAAATGTTTCATACCAAGAGCAGCGTATAGCATGTAATAAATTTTCTTATTTTTTCACTTCTGTATCAAGATACGAAGATCTCTGCAAGTGAGATCACCGTGATTTGTTTAACCGTAACGTGCAACATTTGATCATGTTATTCAAATATATTCATCAAATATAGAATAAATTCTTACTAAGGTGTGAACGAGGCAGAAAATGAATAATGAAATACTCTTAAGCGATATACGATGAAACTTTTGCGAACTTTCACAACGCTTGCTTTACTCTTAATATTTACAAATATGTAGAATCTTCCATCTTATCGGTACATGAATCAATTCGATGGTAATAAGTTTTTCGTTGACACGAACGTGACAAATATCTTTGTTACGATAATGAAATTCAGCAATATCGAATTACTAAATATGATTCTCGTTTATGGTTTTTCACCGTATCGTTATATCTGGAAGCGTTTAAAAAGTTAAGATTCATCCCGAGTTGCTTTTGAACGACATTTGAAGGTACGAAAGACCATATTATTGGGAATATGGAGTAGCGAGATTTTTCGGAAATACTATAGTGTTTAGATAGGTTATAGCCTACGTGCTTGAATTGTTTACGATGCACGATATTTCTTTGAAGATTTCTTTCTGTGTATTTTGTGTATTGATAAAAAAGTGGTGAAACGAAAGAATAATTATTGCATCGTATGCTCTCCATGATACCGGATAACTTTCATTTGAAACATTTTTTCATAGAAGAAATAGTTGAGAAAGTGAATCGAAGCGATGTATAATTTCGCGACTCACTCTCTGTATCTCAATCTGATTTATGACCCCTGTCTTAATTAACTCATTGATCGTATTACTGAGAAATTGATCCAAGTGGTGGATCTTGCCATTTGAATTCCTCTTGATAAGAGACGTAAGTGACCCAATAACAGACATTGAGTAATCCAAAAGAGGCAGGAAATACTATTCGTGCCACTTTGTCAATATAAGACACGCTATTTATATGTCTCGCAATTTTCTCGCCGTGTTTCCTACAGTTTCCTGCTGCTTCTCTCTGTCTACGCTTCCTACAATTGAAGTAAAAAGTCCAATTACATTCAAAACTTTGCGAACAATTATGTGCATGTAATATGTAACATAAATGTAAGAATTATCTTTTCTTTTCGACTTTGTATTCCTAGTTGTAATTTCTAACTTAATCTTAACTTTGATCGTTTATCAAGTAAATAAAGGATGAAAAGTTTCGATTTATAACTTGAATAGATTCGATAGGTGAGGAATGAAGAACTAGATCGTACGTAACTTGCCATGACTTATGGGTGAGAAAGTTTCTTTTTCCACGTGTAAAAATATCCCGAAGCAAAGGGAAATGCCACGGAACATTTCCTTTGGAGGAAATATTTCGGAAAAAAATAGAAAAATATCCAATTCTCTTTGAACTATCGTAATTTTTCCATTGCAGATCGTTTTAGGATCATATTATATATTTATATTTGTATAGGTTGTGTATTTGTTATTCTTGAACAATTGAACAACTTTGACCCGAGATTTTTTCATGTGATTTTTTTATGTGAATACAAGATAACGGTGGAATAATTTTCAAAATTTTACTGAAAATTTTATTAGAGGCAAAGTGTAAATGGAGGTAAATGTAATGGAATTTTTTACCTGAACGCTTCATCGCCAGCGAGGCAATAAAGAAATTGCCGCCATTTCGGTATCCACACTTCCGTTTGTGTTTGTCTTTCCATCGTGGATGGTTTCGACGTAACAGAAACTGTCATCGATCCTCTTCCATAAGACACGGATTCCTAAATATAAAATCGCTTGAAAATATATTTCAATTTTTAACTATTAATTCGAATGTTTTTTCATAAAATTCGTAATATTATAAATGGAATAGTCGTTGAAATATTTTAACGATTCTTTGTCGCGCGAACGAGAAATTTCTTCATTTCTAAGTTAAGTATACATAAAGAGGAATTTAGAAATTTGATCGAATGTAATTTAAAGACGAATGAAAGAAGCCAAATTGCTATCTTTTAGTATGTTTAATAATTACGTATACACATATCGCATACACGTATTATATACATTGTATTTACATTAACACCGTAAATATCACATATTAAAGAACTTCTTCTTCTAGGTACATCGATTATTGTTTCTGGATGAACCGTTTGCGGACTGCACGATACGATGCTGCAAAAGCCATCTTGATAATCGGTTTCGCTCTCGTTTTCCAATTCTTCTTCGTCCAAAGGAATCTCTCCGCTGCCAACCTAACGAAAAATTGCGAAAAAATAATCGGCAGACTAGCATTTTTAAATTTCACTAAAAATTCTACCAAACGTTGATATTTTAAGAAATTTAACGAAACTTTGACAAAATTAAAGTTGACATTCTTACAATCGATCTTCTAACTGTTAGATTATTGATTAAGTTTATTAATTTAAATATAATCATATTCTACAATCTTATCTTATTGCTAAAGTAATAAATTCTTTTCGCTATGTAAAATCTATTTCATATTTTTCATGTATATCAGATGCACTAATCACCATATGATCAGTGTAATAAATTCTTGAAAGATTATCGAGATAATATTAACGACGGACGTTCGTTTAAATTAATCCGTTCAGTTAAATTTTGCGTGTAGACCGTATTAAAAATGAATTGTATTTTGCTTCGAATACTAGTACAATTTGATAATACGAAACAGAGATAACAAATAACTGTGCAAAGTTAATTCTACTAAAGTAGTTAAGAACATTCTTTTGTTGCTAGTATGTATATTAGATAATTTGTAAAAAGTAAATTCTTGATCTTAATCGCATATTATCGAATCAATTAATATTAAACTTGACATAATATTCGATCGAGGGAAAATAATTGAAATAGAATGGAGTAAGTTTGCGAATAAAGAAACGAAAATGTATCATATTTGTAATCATATTTGATACTCGATTGTCATTTTATCTATGATGCATATGATACATGCGCGATAATTCGTTATCGTATTTTATTAGATAGGAGCAAGTTGAGATGATTCGTATAAAATTATGGATACCTTTGTGAAGTAATGCACACCAGCGAATTCCAATAGGGTAGCGATACAATATCCAAAACTCATTAACAGAAACCAATCGAGAGCAGTAGCGTATCTAACTTTTGGCAAATCTGTTCTGGAATCGAGACTAATAGTCGATAGTGTCAAAACGGTGGTGATACCTGCGATAACGATATTAAGCTATTTATCAGAGTGCATATATTATAGCGCAACAGAATATAACGAAATATAAACGTAACGAAAAGATAATCGGAAAAATAGGTATGAAAAAAGCAAGGAATAAGGATCGATGCACTTGTAGGTCATTTTATAACAGAAAATTCAGAAAACTTGGCAACCTGAAACTTTGTTTTCGAAATGTTTTGTCCAAGTTCGATTTTCAGTACATCTAGTAAATCGAGGTGTATATTTATGAGAAACGGCATTTCGTTAAGCAATATTTTAACCGCTTCTAGATTTCTCGAAATACCGTTTATTTAACCCTTTGCGCTACGATAACGAGTTTAACTTGTTAAGAGTTTTTGTAAAAATCAGTTATTTCTTCTTTAACAGTGATTTATGGCACGATATCGACGTTTTGAATTTTAAACTGGGAGAAGATTTTCCAAGTAGCAACTTGATATATATTATATAATATATATATATATATATATATAGTATGAGGTAAAAGTTTTAAACCATCTATCTTGCAGTTACGAGTTATAAGTTTCTCGGAATCCAGCGAAAGATTTCCATTTCATATTTAGTATATTTAAATAAGATAAAGGGGCTAATCTCTTAATACGTAAGAAATTTTTTCTTCCATTCGTTCGGATGTGGAAAAGATTTTATTATCCAGATAGCTTTTAAAGCTTTAATAGCTTCTATCACGGTAAATAATATTTACTTGAACCATTCATCTGTTAGACTGATGAACTTTATAGCGTTATAGCGGAGAATTTGTTCCAAAGAGAAATCTTAGTAGACTTTTGAGTCTTTATTAAGTTTTTCTTATAAATACTCGATAGTACGAAAGGTGTGTTCCAACGTGTATCTCTAACGTATTCCAGTTTTCATATCTTCTTTAATTATACAGGAGCAATTACCGTTACATTAGTTTCTAGATAGGAAATGTAGGAAACTTAGGAAATCTAAGAAGCTTAAATTCGGTAATCGAGATGGTGATGCGCATAACTTGATACACGCGTTTATAAGCAAACTTGATATGGCTTAATACTAATAAAGGAATTTCGACAATTTATTGGAATTTTTCGTTACGAATTTTACGAATTCCGTAACCGTATGCAGAACTTGTGCATAGATATTACACAGCTCTTGCAGATTAGACCTTGTCCTATTCGGATATGTAAGAAAATTGAGTCTTGTGTCGAATCGATATTTTCATTAGATTCCGAGAAATACGTGTAAATACATGCAATACTTCATTTCTACTACGTTTTATATACGGGAGATAATAATAATTAAAATAGTACGATAAAAGTAGATTGTAACTGGATAATCAGATTAAAATTTATCTCGGTTATTAAAGTTATTAATTTGATGAAAAGTGCATCTTTATATCGTTAATATGAAAATGTCCGAAACTAATCGTTCCGATTGCTTTTGCTGGTGTAGTATACGTATAAAAGAAAAGATTTCTAGATCCAAGACATTTTCACGGTAAAATGTAAATGTTTCAAGTAATTTTCAAGGTAATTATACAGAAATTCTGCACATTTATATTTCGAACACCAAGTTCCAGATTACAAGATACTACGAAAAAGAGTACTTTCTTTGTAGTCTTCCTACTACACTTGTAAAGATAGAATAGTTTTATTTTTACGACTATTTCTATGTTCGTGGAGAATAATTTACCTAGACCGACTCGATCGCTGGTAGCTTCGCGATGAATCCAAAACGACACCCAGCTTAGCACTACTATTAAAACACAGGGGACGTATACCTGACAAGTGGATAGAAAAAATTACGTTATGCCAGAGAAGAGCAGATAGAAGCTCGGTTAAATCAAGATGCGCTTTGTCAGCGTATCGAAATAAAAAAAGAAATTTACATGTATATTTAATAACAAGTTTGCAGCTTATTGTGAGTAGAATTAACTAATTGATAACAAGATTGTCGAGATATGCGCTTTACCACGAAAGAAATGTACGATTTCGACATTATGGCTAGAAATTGTTTGAAAGTTCTTAGCATTTCTCGAAAAATTGCTATTTATCCCACTATACGCCTACTCTATATAGCTACAGTAGGATAAATATCGATAATATTTAGAATATTTTGTAATAAGGAGTGTTTATTCAAGTTATTCCATTCTCGTTATCCATTAATAACACGTATACATACTATAATACGGAATATTTTTAAGTTAAGTTCTTGAAATTTACATAAAATAAATTTTTTAAGATTTTTAAGAAAAAAAGTTCTTTTTTAACCCTTTGCACTCGAGAGGTGAGCTTCAGTCACCATTTCATAAAATTTGCAACATCGATATTAATTAATATATCAAATTTAACGTAATGTAACAGTGCGCAAAGTATCGAAGTCAAATAATTCTACAATTCTGTTATTATACAATTCTTTATTTACTGCTGAAAAAAGTATCGTCAGCCTTTTAGTACGGAATCTTTGAATTTTTACTCTTCTCTAGCCAAAAAAATCGTCGAGTGCAAAGGGTTAATATCTTTTTATGGGTGTAAATGTTACAGTTAACCTGTCTCACAGTAGAAATCTATAAATCTCGATTATATATGATTTTTGTCAAGTCAATTTCCTCGAGTCAACTTTAATTATTTAATCGGTTAGTCAAATATATCTTATCGCGTGTATATAATAATCGCTGTAGCGATAATTTGTTCGGGTAATTTATTAAAAATGAGAAAGCGACCAACCAGCCTTTTCCATACTGGTATGCCTTTCAAGTTGATTTAATCGTACAAAATAGATAATATCGATGCAATATATGTAATTACCAAAAGCATTTGCGGATTCAAATCGGTCAAATGGATCAGCCTGTACGTATAAGTATCTATCTATTCCAGATGTGACCAACTGGAGCAGCTGGCTCCATATCTCGAAAAATTTGCAACGTTAAGAAATAAAAATGCATTCACTCTACGATCCCTGTCAAGGATAATGTATCTCCTCTAAAACAGTTTCTTATCATTTATAAGAAATAACATTATCGATATTTCTCCACTCACCCTTAGAACATATAGATGTTTCATACACCTTGTATCTAAAATTGCGATATTAAATTAGCCGCATTAAGCAACGGTTTAACGACGATTTAAATATGAAAATAATGGAGATAAGGATAAAAGGAGATTAGAAAGGAGCGGAACTTACTTGAATTAGGAAATAACCAGTGTGTCGTTGCAGGTTGAAAGAAACTTGGAGAACCGAAAATTCACCCTCCCGACGGACGAAAGTTAAATTTCTGTACGGTGAACCCATTAAATCGAACTGTGAAAGAGCCATTCCAGGAACGAAATTTACCGATGAGCCCTCTTGCCACTCGTAAATTAATTGACCAGATGTATACGCATCTAAAAACAGACAGAAACGATCGGTCGATCCTCCATCAATTAACGGTTAATCCTACTAGAATAAAGAATAGAATAAAGAAATGGTGCGAAGAAAAATAAAGAAGATTAAAGAAAATAAAGTCGTAATGTTATCGCGGGTTATTTGTTAGGAATCAAATTTTACGTTCTTTAGAGTAAAGAAGGAAGGATGAAGAGGAGAAGAGGAAATATTATAGAATTTTGTAATAGAAGATTTTTCAAATAGAATTTTTGTAAATCATAAAGTATAGTTAGCTATATCTCGTATCGATATACAGCGAGTCACGGAAGTATTCGTACCTCTCCAATTATGCAACCTATCGAATAAACTTTTGACACGAACTTTATCGTAAAAGGTCACAAAATTATAGGCTGTAATCATTTTACAACGACATTTGCACGGAGATGGTCATTTAAATGCTATTAATCCTAATCGTCGCAACGATCTGTCAGAAAGAAAAAGAAAAAAGATAATTCAATTTGCCTTGGCCTTTGCTTCCTTTTTTTCATGCAATCATATTTTTGCGAATAGGTTTATAATTCGCGTTTTAAAGTAACACGAATTACAGAATTAATTAAAGAATATTTATATAAATTGGAACAGGGTATTTCTGTGATTCGCTATATGTATTTGTCGTTGGTACTAATATTTATTCATGACGCGGAATATATTTTATATTTCAATTAGAAAAGTTCGCGTTTCCATGTGTATAAACGTTGCTGCGATTATCTCTAGGACGTATAAGCTTCAATGTATTCCGAATAAGAAAAGAAGGAAACGTTATACGGCAAAATGAAACATATGTAAAGCGTTGTGTAGATGTTTTCGCATTAATTTTCTACATTTTTATGCATAGGTGTTCGTAAAAAGTTTTTCCTTGGACACCAATGGAACAGGATGGACAGGACGAGAGTAGGCTTTGCTTTTTAAGCATTCATACGATAAAAAACGTATCTTTCTACGAATATAACAAATCAGAAAAGGAGACATGATACGTATGTTCTACGGAACGGAAAGATATTTATTTCGCGATAGATAATGAAGGGTCATTCAAATATTTATTACATCATTATATTTACTAAGGGCCTAATACAATTTAACACCTTTGATATTATAATAACTTTTGAGCTAACGGCTTTGTAGAGCGAGTCTACTCGATATCCTTCCGTAAGGGCTTAAAATTTTGGGAAAAGTTGAAATTTCAAAAATTCTATTTTATAGAAAACGCAGTTGTGCCTTAAATACATAAAAATGTACAAAGTAAATTTCAAAATGTGCGTCATTCCGTGCAATTTTTATTTCATTACATTTTGCTTTACACATTTTGTAACATTTTATTTTACGTCTAACTATTTCCAATACACAGGTTCGTTTCAATTGCGCGTGTCGAATGTTACGCATTCCGTAAATCATCGGTTGAACTTTTACTTTTTCCCACAAATTAATTACTTTATAAATATCTCCTTTCAATTTATTTTCTAATTATTTACTTAGATAATTACTTAGAAAAAAGTATTTGCAATATATTATATTTTAAGCTATATGACAAGAAAATTCACCTAACCAGAAAGCTTCGATCTTAAAGTTCAAGTTTATGCGCACTTAGAGCATAATATTAAATTCTACATAGAGCAATTTTTTTATACGTGTGAAGTCTATCGGGAAGTGGTCAAGTAGGCTACCAGAATTTTAATATTTCCATTAAATTTTCAGTACTTTTCTCGCTTTTTTGAAAAATATGACTTTGCAACAGTGCAAAACGCGACAAAATTTTTCTTGCAAAAATGGTTTAATTTTCAATGCTTTATCACCGCGCTGCGAAGAAAATTTTCGAATAACCATTACATTCGACGCAGAAAGTATAGGGAAACTTTATTAAATCTCAAAAAGATTTCACATCGCATCGGAAAGAATTCATAGAATACGTTATACTCTCTACGTGCGCATAAATTTTCATTGGAATCGAAATTTTCCGATTAGGTGAATTTTCTTGCAATATTATAACCTGTAAATAATTTGTTCACCCACTGTATCTAGATACAATGAGTCACAGCCAAAATATATAATACGCGTACATCGCGTATCAGAAAATGTTTCATCTCGTAAAAAAGTTTAGGGATGATTTGGAAGAAAAGATTTGATGGATATATGTTGTAAATACATCTATATTTATTATGTAGTAATAGAAAAACGAACGAACCTTTTTATGTACACAGAAAATTGAAATTGTTAAGATTTTGTCTGGCAAACTCCTCACAGCTAAAATCGTACATTTAAGAAAAAGAAAAATTGTTTATCGAGTTGCTTGAATCTAATTTTGCTATTTTCTTAGGTTATCTCGCAATTACGTTGTACCTCGCGCAATCTATTTTCTATCGATCTTACCAATTTTTCAGTAAAATTGGCTTCAATTTTACTCTTATAACGTTAGCAACGCTCTTTTTGAATCATTTTTATTTTGAATGTTTTATTTTAATGTTTCCGAATTGTAATTTTTATACTTTAGTTCATGCCAGATGTGTTCTATAACGTTCAAATCAGATAGTCGCGGTATATACTACTTTGGCACAATTATAAGGAAGCTACATCCTAGCTACATGCAACGGATATTTAAGATGGTTGTCGCTAAAAGATTTAAAGCGGTCTAAAATTTCTAATTTCTCAGCACGGTTCTTTAAATTATTTTTCAAAATATTCACGTAATCGTATTTATTCGTATTGCCTTGGATATAGCAGATATAGAATCCCAAACCATCACTGATCGACTTCCATGTTTCACTGTACGGTGTAAATTTTGTATTTTGAACTCTTCGTTAGGTCCTCGCCACACCGTAATTTTACCATCTGTATGAAAGATATTAAATTTACTTTCATCTGTAAAGATAGTCTCCAAAAATCAAAATCTTTTCCCCTTTTCCAACTTCTTGTTTCGAGCATTTCATAACTTATTACTTATTCTATTGTTGGAACACGGATTTCAATATACAACACGGGTTCTAGCAACAAGGCTACGCTAGAGAAATACAAGTCGGCGGAGAGGAAAAAAGAGAAAAGAGAAATTGAAACTGGGACTGACTGAACTGACTACTGAACTGAAAACCGTATTGAAACTGTATTGAAACTGTATTGAAACTGTATTGAAACTGTGCTGAAACTGAGCTTTCGCAAATTTTGTGGGCGCTTATATAATGTTAGTTATTGAGGGGATGGAGATGACCATTGGCCCTTAGTGAAAGTGGGAATGAGTCAATTGTTTTTGCACTGTGAAATAGATCTGCGTTCATCAGCCAGGTCCTTCTAGCGACTAACAATAAGGGCCAACGAATCGTTAGTCATCCAACACTATTTTCGCTTTCATATCGTTTCACGATATACTGGGCAGTACTGGCATTTCTGTTAATAATCTTCGCAATTTCGCGACAACTTTTACCACCTGTAAAATTTCTTACAATTTAGTTAATCGCTCTTCTACATTTATTACAGTTTGCTTTACCTTTATTACTTTTCTAATTTAATTTCCATTTCTGACTTTACGACGCGAGTTTACTGCTTGCTAACGAGCTAAACGATATATAATCTTTCGTATGTTTTACGATGATTTTCCTTTGGTTTCAGCAGTTTCCCGCAGAAGATAATGGAAATCTGTCGGTAGTGTACGATTTTGGCTGTAAGGCACTTTCCTTACGGACTGAAACCTAGTAACTTTGTTCTTTTTAATACTTGGCAAAGTTCATTTATTTTTATATTACTACATCATAAATATAGATATATTTGCATTATCTACCCACCAAAATCGTTTATCCAAATTATTCAAAAACCCTTGATTGTTTTATGAGACAAAACATTTTCCGCGTTACGATATGCGTTGTACGATTTTGGCTGTGACTCACTGTATGCCGCCACGTAAATACAGTCGAATCTCGATCACTCGAAGCTTTTCAGCGTATATGGGATAACACCGGTGTAAGGGGAGGAGAGGAGATAGATGTGTTAATAATTCCAACTCTCGGTGACTGATCGCACTTTTGCTCTCTTACATAAAACTGCCCACATCGAACGATCATGTCAAACTGTCTACATAAAATTGTCATGTCCGTGTCTCGGTTTGCCCTTTCTAAAGGAGGGACTCCTTTCTCTATCCGCGGATCGTCGCTTCGTTTGAGATTCCGGTTATCGCCGCTGCGTGCTACTCGCACACGCCGCCTTGTCGGTAACCGTGCCTCGCTTACTCTTACATCTCGTTTCTTACCGTGATTTCAATTACAAAGATGCCTTGACAGGAGATCTAGATATTGAAAAAGCAACACTAGATATCGGATGAGAAAAAAATATTGCAAAGTGTATCTTTCTTTCGAGGAACCATCCAGCTTATCAATTCTCCAAGCTGGGTTGTCATTGGGCCTATAAAAACCCTGCCAATGGATTCAACGGGGACACAGGCATTTTTTCACAGTCCACCCCGTCTGCACCACGCATCATAGAAGACTTCGAGGTTCCGTTTATTTCATGCCATCAAAAGATATAAAATGTAATCAGAATCAAAAGTCCGTTTTCATTCATTAATCCGATCTTACCACAAAAGCAAGCGTTTAAAAGCATGAGCAACCGTAACGTTTAAATAACGACGCGATTAGTACAATGTTCGTACTTAAAAAGAGTATTCTCCTCTGGAGAGAGCTTTTTCCATACTTTCCATCTTTCCAATCATTTTCATACATTCCACCCTTTATATATGGATTATATAATATATCGAAGTAGCACGTAAAACTTTAGTTCGCTTTCGATTCGAAATCATTTTCAAATTTCACACACGTACGTATAAAACAGATGCTCTCTTTTAAATATTTCTCCCCGCGTATTTCATGATCAATAAAAATTTGATATAATAATTTTGTAACATTTTTAGCTCGAAAAAATAAGCGTCTTGATAATACATAAGTATTCAGGTACGTGATCGCGTAGAAAATGGAAAAGAAAAATTTTCTATCGAAATATGAAGATACGAGAAATTATCTACACAATTACGGAACAAATAAAATTGATAACGCTATTAATTTATTATTAATTTATTATTAATTTATTATTAATTTATTATTACACGGATTGACTAAAAAATATTACGTTAAAAGCTCTTTATTTAATATTCTTAATCGATAAAGTTTGTAAATAAGCAAAGTATATTATAGGTTAAATTAAAAGAGAGTTGTACGAGGGAGTATCTACGATTTTTAATGTTTCATGAAATTTCGTAAATTGAAAAATATTTCATTCCTGGTTGGAAACTAGTTAATTCTGCGTATACCGTTATTACGATGAACACGTGATATAGTAGCAACAAATGGTATAACGTATATTGTTTTACATTGAAAATAACTTTCAATATCATTTACTGATAATGATTACTAATAAAAGGTACTTACAACTTCCAAGAATCAGTGGACAGGATTGCCGATCCATGGGAAAATTTCGAAGCTCCATTGGACACTTTGCTTTTATAGTGAGCCTGTCGTAAAAACATCAACGTAACACGTTTTAACGTTCGATTATTCAACCTATTTAACATCTTACTTAACATATCGATTTTCCGTAATATCCACAATTTTTATATGTTTTAATTTAACAGGAAGAAACAGACGAATGCCTATTTGTGCTATCGATATATTATAATTTGCGAAATTATAGATGAAATTTCCAATTCTTTTTGATAATTACAGAAGATCGAATTGTTAATTCTAATTTGTAATTTGACATGATCATAGAAAAATCATGTAAACATTTTTCCACAGAATTACGGTATAATTACGGAATTACAGTACTGAAATATCCTGAACGTATTTCCAAGCTGCTTAAGAAATCTGATGTTTCATTTTCGAGAAACAACAATAAACAAAATAGGAATGCAAGTTGGCTAGAAAAATGATAACCTCATAGAATAAAGAATATCCCCGTCCTGCGAGATTCTTAACAATTTATTTGGCACGGTGATGGTATGCACGTAGCTATGTTTTCCATTATAAAAATACGTATCTGGCCTCCAGATTCTTTCCAGCATTTTGATACTCAAACTGAGCGACTTTATTGGACCTAGAAAGCTCAAACGAGAGTCTCGCCAAGACTGTCGAAAATAACAGTCCATCGAATAATCCTGCAAAAATAATATTAATAAGAATGTACGATTACGTTTTTCTCCGAAGAAAAATTAATCAAAAACGTAGATAAATTTGACAAAAATAATGGAAAGTACACATTTTTGGTAACTGCAGAAATGACAAATTTCAAACTAATCATTTTCACTCATTTAACAATTTAACTTTAGTTATAACAATAACTTTTTACATAATATAAGAAATGTATCGCGATTAATAGAATGTAATTTTAGCAATTTTATAGAAACGCATAAATTTCTTTGTAGAAAATACAGAAAACTGTTTAAAACTCTTTAAACGAATTAAGTGTATAGGAAAATAAGTCTATATATAGGATAGATTTTTATTTATTTCTAATGCATTTGAAAGGTATTCTATGCAGATATGTTTGAAAAATGTTTGTGTTTATGAAGAAAAATTGAAATACTACAAACCGAAGAAATCGTGTTATATCTTGGGATTATAAACCTACCATGTCCAGTTCAGACACAGGACCCATGCTTCTTATTAAAATATTCGTTTTTACCACGGTAGGCGTTCCTGATAATCAAAAACGCACAATTATACCTATAACGGTGTTAACATCTTTTATAAAGCAAAGAAACGTTATAACGCATTGACTTGTTTGAAAAATTTCTAACGAAATTTCATAATTTAAAGCCAATGAATTTTCATAGAATTTAAATCTAATCGAGTAATATATAAATGTTTATTACATTTGCGGCCAATTTGTCGACCAATTTCTCGACCAATTTATCGACCAATTTATCGACCAATTTATCGACAAATTTATCGAGCAATTTGTTCGATGACACTCGGAAAGTCAGATTGAAATAAAATTTTAAAATATCTATTTTTAACGAGCTCTCTTTTCTATTAAAATTGCTTGCCGTTGAAAGAAACGCTTCTTCATGCAAATGTAAGGTGTTCGGTCACGAAAGGTTGAGAAACACTGATTTATCGGATAGCACGACAAAAACCTTTTGTCTATTTTAGCACTGCACTCCTTCAAGTATTTTTCACAGACCTGTACCGTATTCGATATCTCGCCATTGCGAAAGTTTTGCAAAGACAGAATAAACGATTGTTGGATTGTAAGATCAATTCTGAATCTTTCGTTTTATTTCATTCGTTTAAATTATTCGTTACTCGATCAAAATTTATAATAAATGATCACAATACGTATAATTGCAATGTAATATTTTCGTATTACGCATACCTTTTGCGTTATTTGCACTCGCAAAGGTATGTTTCCTTTTGTCTCAAATAATAATCCACCAACACTTTCCTCTCTGTTCTTTTACACCGCGTAATTAAAAAGAAATAGCAAATAGTAAGTTTCGTGGTTTTTCGTGGATGAATAGAAAAGTATAGAAAAGTATAGAAAAATGAGGAATTAGTAATAACACTAAACGATACCACGAAAGGTCGACGAGATAAAGGTGCTGTATGTCGCATAGTATTTACGCGATACTCAATCGACGCTGCATCTATTATATTTTTACGATAAGCGACAAATACTAGGGTAGAAGAGAGAAATGCAAGGGTGGCTGTACATAAAACGGAAAGAAATAACAGTGAGAGGAATTGGAGAGAAATGAAAACGATGGGATAATCGAAAGAATAGTTGGGCATTTTTTCCGATGAAAGAAGAAGAAAGAAGAAGGAAGAAAAAAGAAAAAAGAAAAAAAAAAGAAGAAAAGAAAGATGGGGAAAAATTGAGAACGCATGCTAGGGATAAAGGCGATTTCGAAGGGATACTTTCCTTCGATTTTCTTCGGTTGGCCGCAGTCCAACTTTCCGCGTGTTCCATTGGATCGGTACCTATTTTTTCCTTTTCGCTCCATCACTTGTCAAAGGTCATTACAATGCTCCAATTTTTCCGTTGTAAACATTTTAAGATCGATATACGAGGAAAACGTTATCCGTGTCTCCGAATTATTTTAAACTTCTCTTCTACGATAATTATATTTTTCTTTAGCATCGCGATAGAAAATGTTAATTATTCTAATACATACATGTGTAAATAATAAGTATTTCTTTCCTTTTCCAAACGCTAAATATGCATTTATATGTATAAATGTATAAATGTATAAATGTATAAATGTATAAAAGAGACGAGACTACCTAGTTATGGTTACAATAGTAGAGCGCCATTTATTTCAAGTTTTTAATAGCAATTACGAAAATAGTAATTCACGATCGTATTTCTTTTTAGTAAAAATATAATGAAACACATACAATTTCTAGTGAAACCCACGTATGTATCGTATGAATGTCTAGTAATGTACGTACAGACGTAAATTTTATAATTTTATAATTTTATAATTATCCCCTTTTTCTTTTCCTTTTATCAGAGCAATTCACAGAGTAAGTACAAAGTAACACGGTACGTAGTAAGTAAGATAAAAATACAAAATATACGGCGGTTCGTTATTTTCATGGTCGAATGAAACTGCGGGAAAGACAAGACTTTTAATTCTGCAAGACATTTAAAATAGCAGACAAATGTACATAGGAGACAATCGTGAATAAGCATTTTTTCGTTACTTAATGGAAAAGCGATGAAAAATTGTGCGTCACGTATTAATCATTTCTCAACCGACTTGTCTTAATAGCATTTTATATTTTTCTGGTATCCTTTATACGATCATACGATAATACCTATACGCAAGCATACAAGCATAGACGTATATTCTAATAGATCCTAATAGATGCCAATCGATATGAATCGTGTGGTCAACTTTGTATACATAGCCAAAATTGGTAATTCTATTTGCTAACTCATATATTATATATTATAAAAAATATTTTACTCGATTCAAATTTTTCACAATCATGTAACTTCTTCGTCCAAACGAACAGATTAAAATCGTTTATTTTTCCTTTCATTCTTGTTAATATTGACAATATAATAAATATATCGTCGATAATAACATTTAAGAAGGTTAGTTATTTCAAAAGTTATCTACCGTGTACACTTATGTTACAACATCCAGCTATAGAATAATATTATTTAAGTATTTACCAAACGTTAACATAGATAACGATACTTCAATTCATAGTTACTGACCTTTCTAAGATACTATCTCAACAATAGAAGTTTATTCGAATACTTATACCTTTTAAGAACGTTAGCTATAATAAGAAGAATTATTGTTTTATCTTAAAATGCGTATTTCAAACAGTAATCGTATCATCTTTGCATACTGTTGTATTAATATTGTTGTTGCATTACTGTTATAACAACAACAACAACCATAATTACTATTACTATTACTATTATTATTGCTGCTGCTGTTGTTGCGTTATCGTGAAATTGAAATATTATTGAATGTTATCGTGACACAGGCTATCCCACGGATCGTTAGGCACGATTTTTCCAGTATTTGCGATAATCCGAGAAAAAAATCTGTTCAACAGAAGTTACCATGTTCCCTGTGCTGTATACAATTCGAAAAAGGAAATTTCTTTTTAATATCTTTTTTTGATATTTTTGTTCAAAAATTTTTAAGGTCAAATTCGTTTCCTCAAATAGCACTTTATACTTTTAACCTAATATTATCGTAGTCTATATCTAGCCAAATTCAACGACCTAACATACCATGACTTTTGCATAATCTTGAAGGCAAAGAAATGAAAATTGCAACAAAAATGGCAACCAGCATGAATTGATGATAATAACTTGTGTTTATTGTTAAAACTGAAAATTACATTCCCATCGTATTGGGAACCTCGAGTAAATGTCGTATTACTTGAAACTTATTTATGAACTTATTTACAAACTGTCGACAGAACTGTCGACGGAAGAAAGAAAAAAATGTGAATTTAACTATAGATTAGGTTAGCGCTTTATGGACGAGCCACGTGGCTTGGAGAACATTGGTTGGGCACTTACACAGTCCTATGGGTGATCTGCAATGACGAGCACTGGTGAAAAGTAATCGAAACTATGCGTGTCTTTATTTCCAAGTAATGTTTCACGCGTGGAAAGGCTAACCAAAAGATTCCGTTGGATAGGATGGATAGAAAATGGAAGAATGAATATAGAAATTGAAATATAAAGGCTAAGCACGACATAACCGAATTTTTGTCGATAAAGTTCCGTAATCGTTTAATCCCTTCATCATCGAAACCGAATTAATCCAATTTCCCCGAAACGACTCGATGGAGCGTAAAGAAAATTCGATTTAAAATCGATTAGCAAAAAAATAATCTGAAATTGTGTTTTACATAGTAGAAATCAATGCGAATAATTTAATTGTAATTAATAATATCAACGTTTGATATTTAAATAGGATGTATCCACGTATCTCCGTATCTCTGTATCTCCGTCTTTATGTTTAGCGTTGATTTTTATATGATATGTGATGTATGATTTTTATTCATTACCACCGTTACGGCCTTGTAGCTTCTCCTTTTCTTTTTAAATACTGTTCGTATAAAACATACGTACATATGAAAATTTCAGTTTTACGTATAAAGTAGAAAAGCGATAATTAATAGGTAAGCAATTTAGTTAAAATACATTATAAATGACACTAAAAATGACAGTTAAAAGACATGACGGCGATTTAGAGATACGAAAGTAATCGAGCCGGTTTTAAAATAAATACAATTTAGCTTTAACCTTTCACTCGTTCGGTTGTCTAATTCATTTTTCCGTTATAAGTATTCTTTAATATAAATGTTCTGTGATTTTTCGTACATTAGATATCGTTGATATTATATATTATAAAAGTTATTATATATTATAAAAGTTAGCCGAGTGAAATAGTTATTCGATGAATTGAATTAATCGAAAGCATTTGTATATTTATCTGGTGTTTATATTTGATATATTTGAATAATTTCGTATAAATATTTGATGTAAAATTTTACTAGGTAGGAGATAAAAGTATATTATTCGAAATAAGCAACTTCAATTTTATGCTATATCTATATATTTGATCGAAGCAAAAGCTGTAAAATATCATAACATGCACGTGCAAAGTTACAAGTTTAATAAATTCTCATTTTTCGCTCTTTTCTTGTTCATTCTTCCAACGTCGTTATCGACTTTTTTCTTCCGTAGAATAGCGTAGAATAGCGTGGAATAGCGTAAAATGGCGTAAAATGGCGTAAAAGCATTTACGGACGAAAACTCTATAATCTCAATTATAATATTAAATTTTGTATTATTTCCATAGAAATGTAGGATTGAAATGAGTACAGCCCTGAAAGAATATCAAGAGTGTTTGGGCTTAGGACGAAAGTGACCGCGAGCAAGAGAAGCGACTGCAAAGAATGTTGGTAGAGCCGAGTGAAAGTTTAGGGATGCGTCCAAAGCGATTGAAGTACTTGGCCCACCGTGGTTGCGTGGAAAAGGGCATGATTGGAAAAGAAAGCCTGGGTATGAAAGAGGATAGAACGAATGGTTTAAATAAGGGTGCAAGGGCGCGGGCTCTAAGTGTGCCAAAATGTGCCAAAGTCTAAGAGCGTGTGCAAGGACACGGTTCATCAGTTGCAGTCTATAAGAGTCAGTTTTAAGAAAGATCAGGACCGCGTGCCCATAGCGAATCTCTCTTGTTTCACAGACAACCGCGGTCATTCCATTTCTAAGCTTATTTTATTTATTCTATTAAGGAGCCAACAATATTATCTCGAGTGAATCCAAGTCACCGAAATACGATCCCTAGATAAATATTACGCTGTTATTGGAAACGCTATTCGATATTTGGACAAAAATAAAGTTCACTTATAAAAATAATGAGAATAAAGACAACTAGGTAATATTTAGTTATCGTTTCATAATTAAATCGTAGTTTTATAATATATTAGGTTGATCTATCGAAGGATCATATTTATACGATGGAGAAATTTGTAGGAAATTTCATTAAATTGCCTGCCTAACTTGGTCGAAATTTCTTCGTGTTAAGAAGTTATTCAAGATTTGAATTCTAGCTACGAAAGAAGAAAGAAAAGCGAAGAAAGAAAGGAAAGTAAATGTAACAGCTATCCGGAATCAAAATTTCGACAGTTCTTTGCAATCGATTCCACGACAATTTAAAGATGCCTCGATCTTTCTTTTTTTTTCTCTCGCGAGAAAGGTTTTTCTCGTTCTTTGTTCAGATAGCGTAACGATAAGGAAATATTTCGGTAGATCCGAGAAAGCTTTTAAAGGCTCCTGTCTTCGTGAACGAATAGTAGCGAAAAGTCAACAATAACAAGACCAATTACAACGATGTTACCTTTCTTAGGACAATGTTCAGATCGAACGTGGTGAAAATACTTAAACTTGAAATAGGTATTGCAATATCACGACCTTGAAACGAAGAATAAATTAAAGGAAAAACAAGAAAGGAACGACACGGTTCTGTTTCGAACTATTTGTTGTTATTTAACGATATGAAAATTTTCGTTTTAATACTTGGAACGAGCAAATACGGAAATGCAATAAAACGATAGATTCGATATTAATTATTCGCATTTATTGTAAAATATTGAAAAATAGTAGCATAAATAACAAAAATAACGTTTAATATGAAAATTACGTCTAAATATTACGAGGAAACTATGTCGTAGGTGGAAAATTTCTATATAAATTACATATAATTGCCATTAGAAAAATGCATATTCGAAGTAAGGTAATTATAGTTGTTTGTTTCTTTACCTTTTCCATGAGTGGGTAGTTGATTGTTCTCGTAATTCATTAGAAGATTCTCGAGAACCATTGTGATATTTCTAGAAACAATGTCGTTCACGGTTCCTCTGGTCAACGTAGATTTCGAAGCTGTCCTTGGGATCGCTGATGACGAAACATCGAGAGCGTAATTCCGATTTTTGCACGTTGACAGCAAAAAGAGAAATATCAATCTGTAAAAAGTATCGATTCGTCGATCAAGAGTAATTTGCAATGTCTCGGAACGGGATTGGAAGCATACAATTCGTCGAGTCGATAGAAAAGAAGGATTGAAATTAAAATTAAGATTAAACGAAAATTACTGAATTTTTTGCCAGACACGAAAGAGCTAATAACTGAACTGTAATAACTAAATTGTAATTGATATATTTAACTTTGTAAGATTTTCTCTGCTAACTGCAACTACTACGAGAGTAAAGTATCGGCCATTAGTTGGGAAGCGAAACTTTTCCTATACTTGTAATTTTTAATTAAAAGTTAACTTGTAAAAATTTGTATTCTAGGAAAAAAAGAAATTTGAACTAGATACTTAATCAAAGATGGTACATACTACTCTTCTTTTTCGATCGATTCGAACCGTTGCGCGCGCGTTTGTGTGAGCGTGCGCGCGTGTGCGTGCGTGCGTGCGTGCGTGTATGTGTGAGGGGGGAGACTTTCGGTGGCGGAAAAAATGGGGGAAAAACGAGTGGAAAAATCGGAAAACGGTGTTGGTGGAAAGAAAAAAAGCGGTTGGTACGAGGACGAAGTAAACTGAGGAAAGAAACGAGAAGCGAAGGGAGGAGGAGGAGAAGAAGAAGAAGAAGAAGAAGAAGAAGAAGAAGCGGAGAATAGGAATAGAAGAAGAGTGCTCTCCTTAGCCGCGGATTCAGCAACTTCCGACGAGGGTACCCCTCGATGTTTCGAGTGAACATTCTCCCTCGTTACGTCAGAATCGCCCTTTAAACCCTTCCGCTGGCCTTTTTCCTCGAAAGGCTATCGAACAACAGATACATTTTATTTTCACTAATACGCTAATACCATGCTCGCGATACGTATTTTCGAAATGATGAAGCAATCGAATCGTCGCCTGAAATCGAAACAGGTTTCACAGAATTTTGCAACAGGAAAAGAAAAGGAAAGAAATGTATCTTGCAACTTTTCGTCGATTCTGTATCTTTTATTTGTCACGTAGAATAATGGTTAACGTTAAAACCGTTAGAATCGTTGGCACGATCGTGAAAAGATCTCGTTTTTAATATCGATAACGTTAACTACGAGAATATTACAAGAACGTCGATATCGATCGTGACTGTAAAAAAGGTATAAAAAAATATGCACATCGCGAAGCTTGTAAAAATTGCAATGGTCTCTCGGTTAAAAGTAAAAAGGGGATAATGAACGAGAAGGCATGAACCGTCGAAAGGGTGGTAATCATTTCCTTTTTTTCCTTTTTATCTTTTTTTTTTTTTCTTTTCTTTCCACTATCGCAGCTACACGTTTACCGGGAATCTCGTACCACTTTAATTTCAGCTTTTTCATTAACGGTCTGTATCAATATTGCCATATTTGCGGGGCTAGATAAATAATCGACCTGGAATG